AGTCATCCTTCAGCTGCCATTTATCACTTATGAAGAGGGACTTGTGAAAATAAAATATTTGGTATGATGTATCATTTATCAAATATCTTCAGAAGCATATTTTAGAAATATGTATGCCCTAGATTTCGGCTGTGAAATAGCATACAGGCCGCCATTTACTTGGCTTCTAAATAGTTTCCTTTTACCTCCTGCAGCTCTTTACAAGATAAGGTCTTTGGAATTTTGGATCATTTTTACAATGCTATTATTGCAGCCTACCCAAAGGTTTTATGAACTATTTGCAAACATTTTAAAGCCCTTTTGAACAGATAAAGAAATTTCAGTCTGGAAAAGGTCTAGGTTGTCTAAATCCAGTTTGCATTAAATGCTGTGTATATATATATATGTATATGTTTAATTACTGTAAAGTACAACATACTTGTGACGTAAATGATTTGGGATACTTTGATTTCTTATGTTAAAAATAACTCCTGAATTAAGACGATAGAAACTATCATATAGGATAGTTTCAGGAAACTATCATACATGTGCTGATCATTCAGCACATTATCACACAGCAAACAATTAGGAGACAAACTACCTACAGACAGTTGTGAAACAAAATACTCACTGAACCAGTTTTTCTAATCTCTATCCACTATCAACTGACCCTATAACAAGACCCTGTGGTGTTGCAATTGCCACTGCCACGTTGTTGATGTTATTGTTGATGCTGTTGCCTCCATTGTTGCAGCTCTGAATGTTTTCATTACTTATATATAATTCTGTAAATATTCATTCCTCCTTTTTAATTAATTTAAACTCAAAGCTTAACTGATATCCTGTATCAGTGAGTTCCGGAAACTGGGTTGTGCATTGTGAAGGGCAAAATCTAGACTGCATTGTTTTCAGTAGCGGCTGTATTGCTCATTTGCAAAAAGCTAGCATCATCCTTTGCAGTTCCATTGAGTCAGCACTGCTAGGTGTTCCTCAGACAAAAATGAAGATGATTCTGATGATGAGACTGCCCCTTTCCTGAAGAGGTTATGAGGTTTGCAGTCAGGCTGGGAGGTTGGGTGCAGGCTGCGAGAATACAGGCTTTGCGTCTTCCTGCTCTGTCCTGCCTCTTCTGTCTCCATGGCCATTGCTTGCTTTTTAAAGAAAATTTTCAAGCAAGTGAGATAAGGAACTTTTGTAAGAAGTGCTTTTTATAGAGTGGCCAAACTGTGACTGGACCAGTGAGCTGTGACAATACATATGTGGGATCCTGTGGGGAAGAAATAAGGGAGTGAAAAGAAACTGAGGGGTCACTTTGCCATGTGGTTTTGACACACTGAGAAGGATCAGAAAGAGTGGGAGTGTGTAAGTGCGCATTTATGCGCAAATGACAGAGATGTGAGTAAGAAGCAAATTGGAGAGAGAACAAAAGACAAAGAGAGAAGAGCTTGTGCAATGTGTGTGCAGAGTGGTAAGAGTTTCAGTGATGATTTTTGTCGAAGGAGTGCAAATGTGTAGCAGAACAGAAGTCCAGGCAAGAGGTTATCAGTGCTGGGAGATGGATTTCGGAATGGAGAGATAAAAGAGAGAAGAAAGTGAAGATGTATTGTCACAGAAAGATCCACAAGAATTATTGGCTACATCAGTGTCTGTGATGAGGATGCATTATGCTGAATCTTGTGCAAATACTTATTAGAGCCCCACTGTCCAAAGTAGCTCCTCTCAGTTATTCAGAGCCTGTGTATCATTGGTACTAACTGTATGTGGAAGGACCCTTAGTATCTTCCCCTCCATGAAATGCAGCCAGTAATAAATCTCTGAGTTTCTTTGATTGACTTTGATAGACTATTCAGTCTGTAACTTGTTATCTCTAACTCCACAGGTCTACTTAAAATGGCTGGATTGACCAGAGGTTAGGGCTGGCCTTGTTGCCTGCGTTTAGTTGCTCTTACTGCTAACATAACTTACTCTTGAGCCATCATTTCTCTTTGCTTCAGAACTTAATTTGTGAAATGGAGACTCTGTCCAAACAGGTCAGGCAGCCAATCAAAATTTGTGATCTCGTAGGCTATTTCTGTTTGAAAGAGAAACTCCTTATGAATCAGGGTTCTTTAAGGGCAATTGTCCTTGCCTACTAAAGACTGCACAAAGATATCCTTTCTCAAGCCTGAGAAGGATCAATTAAATAGAGATGATTTCTCTGTACTCAGAAGGCCACCAAATCTTCAACTTCCCTGGGGCTAACTGTCTGTGTTAATTTATTTCTGAGCTCTTCTTTTGATTCTATACCTGAACTTTTACTTGCGCATACTTGTGTTTACTTGTGTTTTACTTGTACTCTGAGATTCACCATGAAGTGGTATTTGTCCTCTTTCCAGACTTCAAAAGGGTCTAGATCAGGTCCATACTATTTTCCATAAGAGTAATAGCTGAATTTTGCCCTGCAAGTGTGAGATTTTCCAGAGATACAAATTACATAGGTAAAAGGTGGACATGTCTTCAAATAGTGGCATAATTTACAACCTATATCTCTTGATTTCTCCATTTGCCTTTAAAAATGCCTTTATGAATATGTGTGTTTTTGGGGCGCTTGTCTTGTGTGAAAATAAAATTAAAGAGTAAATCACCCTTTGCTAAACCTCCTCCAAATCTCAACTTTTAAATAATTATGTCTATACATAAGGGTGCTTCCTGTGTTTTACATAGCTTCCACTTGATAATTTGCCGGAGTGAAGAGCTGCAAGTTTGACAAGTTTTTTGCAGTAGAGATTTGCACCTGAATAGTCATTGTTCATTCTTAAGGATCTGACTTACCTGTGTATATGCATCTTTAAAAATCACCAGGATGAAAGTGCTGAGGGATGACTCCATTGGTAGGAATTTTTTTTCCACATTTCTGCAGAAGATAAAGCAAATTTCACTCACAGGTGACAGCAAACTCTTAGAAACGGAGAAAGCAGTCAACCCAGTGTAGACAATTAAGTGTACAATGATGACAGCAAAAATGTTTATGTGGCAATATGGAAAAGTAACAATCCAAAAATTCTACAAGCAATCAAATCTCAGAACATGCATAACATCTTTCCGAGAACTGCAATACAGATAGCTAATGAGAGTGATTAGATGAGCAGAAAGCCTCCAGTCTGAAGACAACCGAGGATTCTCCAGTAATTTGTTTTTGAACTTACTTTGCCCCGGTATAAGAATATGATCTCCTTCCCTGACGGACATCTCTTCTTCATGTCTTTTATTGGAATGAACTGTAAGACCTAATTGCTGCATCCCACTGTCAGTCTCAATAGTTGTCACACGTATCAAATGCCCCCAACCTTGCAGAATCAGAAGAGCGATTCATGTGCTTTCATATCAACATTCTGAAACTGGAAATTGAAGATGAAACAATGACTTATCACATCCATTGCTGTGGGAGTTGGTTGGTTATGTAGTCTGTGCTATGTACTTTTATGTCATTAGCACATAGAAGCCTTGGTTTGATCTGCTTTGTCACAATGGATAAGTTATCCTCTGGTGTATTTTTGACAAAAACATAGGAGAATGAACCAGATTTTGTTTTCAGCTCTTAAAATTTGTCAACTTTATATTCATTTTTCTAGTCATTTGGTAAATTTATTTGCTGTGTAGAAATAATGTTACTGTTAAAATTTTAAGTTCAAGGAAAAAATCAAAGCCAAATGTCTCCTTTTCTTCTTTCCTTTACAAGCAGGCAGGAGGGTCTTGAGATGTCCACATCCTATTGTTTCTCATCAGTAAAATATTCTTATGAACTTAGTACGAATGAGATATTTCTAGACTGCCTTACTTCTTTCTCAGAAATAATTCTGACTTGTGTCTGAATAATATTTAAACACACTAATAGTAAGTATTGTTGATTAGATTAGGTCTTTCATAGCGTAAGTTTTATTAATTACATTTTTACTTTAACTGAGTTATTTTAAACAATGTATGAAACAGATCTTCCAGACATGGTGGATTAAATAATTACAAATAAGCGCTTGGAGTATAAAGCAAGTTTTCAGGGCATGTTGGCTTTAATACTTCCTCCTTGAGTATACTGAGTGCAATTCAGTCGTTAGATACATAGACATGCACAAATGTTTTTAGAGTGTTTAAATTGTTATATTATTAAAAGAATGTCTATTTAAGTGTTTTGTTGTGGTTGGAAGTTTGGATTCTATTTTCAAATACGTTGCTTGTATGTTAGGGAAGCACTAGAGATGGGGAAAAGCACCGCTCAATGCTCGGTTAGTCTATGCACTGGTGAAGGCAGCTGAGGACACTCACGAGGCAACTGGTAGGGAAATCACTTGTCAAGGCATCGGATCTGTATACTTCTTTGGAGGAGACTTGGAACTGAGGAGAGCATGCTAAAGGTGTCCAGCGAATTTTAGCTGAAGTATCTGGCTTTTACGTGTGCGAGCAAGAAAGTACGCGGGCTTACCAGATGTATGTGTACTCCAGACTACAAGCTGGACCTAAAACTCCATGTCTAGTATGTCTGTGCAGGATTCACCTGCCCTGAATCTGAGCATTTTGCTTTCAGCTTGCAAAGGAACAAGCACCTAGAAAAAATGATTTATCTCTCTGATTTGCTGAAACATGTTATTTCCTTCCCATGGGCTATGAAGGAAAATCAGCATGGCTAGCTCCGACTGAGATGCCTAGCTTTTTGATCCTTAAGTTATGAAAGACGATTTGCTTTCCTTCTTAGGTTACTGGTTGACAAATACGGGAAATTGGTCCCCCGCTCCCTTCTCTGCCTTATCTGAGGTGTCCTAGTAGGGTTTCTTACAGGCATGATTTTTTTTTTTTTTTCATTCCTACACTGAGGCAAAGTAATCTGCTGTTCTCTGGTCAGGTCTTACTGAGAGGAGGTTGGGGCAGAAAAAGGCAGAAAAAACAAGACAAGAATCCACTATAGAAGCATTTATCCTTTCCCTTCCTTCCTTTTAAGAATAAGGAGATGTTTAAAAGGATTTTCAGTCATTTCTTACCATTTGTTGCAGATTGTTCACAGAACCCTTGCAGCGATGTTGGGCTCTTTGGCAGCGCTGGCTGCTTTAGCTGTTGTTGGGGAGGTAAGTTATAAAATATAAGTGTTCACTTTGTTTCTGTGTATGATATCATAAATTCCAGTGCTTATCCTGTTTGAAATGGCCACAAAATATAACAATATTTTTAAGAGAGGTGCCAGGACAGATATTGTGATGGGGAGGCGTCCTGGGGAAAAAGAATAGCCTAGGGTGTAGACAGGGAGAGGGAAAAAAGTCAGTTGGTGCTATTTTGTTCTGAGTTTCAGGAAGCTGGGGACAGCCATTTTCAGCTTAATTTAGATTTACTTTAATTCACTTTAATTTTGTTATTTTCAGTAGTGTCAGGTTTCTGATCAAACCCAAATGCAAACACACTGCCTTATGCTGCCCTAAATAATTATACCTCAAGCTTACACCTTCCAGTCCTATTTTTTTTTTACTCGCTTATCCTTATTTGATATTTAGCAAAACGTCTGATTGATTTTCTCAGTATTTATCATAACTGGTCACCGTATCACTGCTCTTATGTTCCTTTAAAGTCCCTCCAGTTTGTGCATAGATGAAGTTGAATGTTTCTGTTCTGTTAGCAAAAAAAATTGAGGTGTAACCTATAATTCAATTTTCATTTATTTCTGTAATGCTACATAAGGAGCAAATAGCTAAACCAATAGCCTAATGTAGGCATCTGATAATGACCCACTTAGATGCCAGTAGTACTTCGAATTAGTAATAATAATAATAGTAGTAATAATAATAATAAAAGAGTCTGTTTTGGGTGCCTTGTAGGAACGCATTAATTTTTATTATAGCTTATTTAAATGGCTCAACAATTAAATGGAGTTTATGTTTCCACAGCTAATAGCAAGTTAGGTGTTCCATGGTATTCACCGGTAATTGTATTTTTTGATTGCAGAGGCCAAGTATGGTCAAAGTGGTGGAGTGGATTGATTATGAGACACTGGCGCTGTTGTTTGGAATGGTAATGAAAATGTATCTTTTGTTCTAAATGTTCTGAAACAATCGCATTCAATATCTAGTTTCCTTTTTAATCATTTTCTTAATTATAGTATTACTGACACATCTGATGATGAAAATTTGGCCCTTGAGGGATTTATCAAAAGCAATAATCATCAGACCTCTGAAGGAAGAGAAACCTTTGGAATATGTTGATCTCCTCCTGTTTTTTCATCCATAAAATCATGTTGATAACATACTAAAAACATCCTTTAGGTCTATAAATGGAAAGACCTGTTTAAGTGCCAAGTATTATCACTCTCATTCATCTTGTTAATTTTGTTTACTCAAACCCTTCCTCAAACACATTCTACTGGAAAAAGTGGTTATCTTTGTCTTAGTCAGTGCTATGTTTGGAGCCAAAATAAGCAAACCAGAAATGGAAGTGAAATATCTGATTAAGTTGTAATAATATATCATTTTAATCACTTTGCCCAGAGCTATTTATGGTAAAAAGTGTTGTCCAAGTGTTATTAAACTGTAACACAAAATATGCATTGTACACAGACAAAACTGCCATTATCTGTTGCCATTCTTAGCTTTTCTTATTTCCTGACACTAATTCTCCCCCTGCCAATGAAAAAAAAACCTGTTAGGAGTAAAAGGAAAGGACTGGAAACCTTCCAGAAGTGTGGGAAAATGTAAATAATTTTTGCGGCTGATATCATCTGTACTCTCTACAGCATTACTGCAGAAAGCACACACACAGTCTTTGGCTTCTTTTGATTAATGGCATAAGGGAGATCTATTGAGTGTTTAATGTATGATGCCTACTTAGTCTTTACAAGTAAAATTCAGGTAAGACTAGTATGACACCTACGCACCATTTATATTGAGACCTAAATTTCACCATACGATGTGCTAACAATAGCTATCTGACAGCTGTCATAGATATCCTGATACCAGGCTGATCAGATTCCCAAAAAACCTGAAACACAAAATGGTAGCGGATATGAAGGACTTTTGCTGCAACCACAAGCCGCGTGACTTTGCTTTTGCGTAATAATTCAGTTACAAGCCATTCTTTTTTCCTCCTCTCTTTCGGTAGATGATTTTGGTGGCCATATTCTCAGAAACAGGATTCTTTGATTACTGTGCGGTAAAGGTAGGCTTGTTTTGGTGTTCTTGAATACTACTCCATTAATAAAGTTGGTATTTAATCAGACCTACTACACTAAACACTAACTTTGATAAACCTTTCTTAGTATAGTGTATATTTATCACGCTATAAATGACAGTGGTCAACTTGCAACTTGAGAAAAATCTCTAAGAGGGTGAAAGGAAGCCCTTGTGGCAACTGTATTGTACAGGAGAAAGGCAAAGACCCCAGTAAGGTCTATCAACCCATGTATAATATCTAGTTGAGTTATCCCACTAACTTCCCCAGGACTGCAGTTCTTCTGTAGCTGAAATCTGTATTTACCTCATCAGTAGGAGAGAGGAAATATGGGAATGATCGTTAGGTTTGCAATCCTACATGGTTATACGGCCACAGACCTTTGCACAGCAGCAGAAGCAAAGGCTATATGAAAAAGGTAATTCCAAGGGATTGGTTGCAGAGCAAGTGTCACCCATGGTTAAGGACTCCTTCACCTGCTGCATAGCTTTATTTTCTTGAGAGCAGTGGGAAGAAGTAAAACAAAAAAAAACCAAAAAGGACTACCTTGAGCACAGGAGCCCAAATATAGGTAGGCACAACCCCTGCCTAAATAGCTGCCCAGAGGATGCAGCCATGATGGGGCTGCTTGGAGGATGGGGAGAGTCTCCCAGTGTGTGGTGCAGGCAGGAAGGCTGAACGGCGGCAGCCCACGCGCAGCGTCAGCCCGGACCATGGGGCTCTGCCCTGCACCCCTTGCCAGCACCGAAGCGTGGGTATCTCTTCAGACAAGCGTCTTCCTCTGCATAATGGAAATGTTTGCCCACTTCCACTAAGTGTTCTGTTGCTAAAATAACTAATGTCTGTGAGTGCGCTGCTGGAAGTGCATAGGGTGTTAAATGCTCTGAGCTCACTCTTGCCTCACCTTTTGTAAAATTCGTAATCGTTTTTGAAAATTAAGCTGGAATGTTCTTGTCCCTTTATTTTGTTGCTATTTGGTTTCGTTAGGCCTATCGATTCTCTAGAGGCAAGGTGTGGGCCATGATAACGATTCTGTGCCTGATTGCTGCTATTCTTTCTGCATTTTTGGACAACGTCACCACAATGATGCTCTTTACTCCAGTAACCATAAGGTACTTTATCGTTATGGTTTTGGACTCGGTATTTCATAGCCAGCAATCAGTAGTAGATATGTGTGCAAAATACTTGTTTGGACTTTTCTTCAATCATCTACATGGAAATTAAAACTTCAAATATTCCTGTTATAATAGGGTAAAGAGATAATGCTTTCAAGGGATCAGTTGCCTTTTTTCTTTTGTGTTGATAGTCAGTGCATATTTGAAGGCTGTTTAACTGCTTTGCCAGCTAACTATTCTGACTTGTCTCCACATCTGAACTGCAATAGCAAATTGCACCAAATGCTCCACGGGGGATGAAATTTTTCCCTGAAATCAGGGAGTTTTTTTTTTTTTTTTGAATTAAAGCTGTCTTGTCTTTTACTGTCTAATGCCTGTATAAAATTTTGGCTTGTAATTTATGTTTCAGGGAAGTTGTTATTCCTTCTAATACTAGTGACAATTAATGAACTAAAAAAATCTTCAAATTTTAAGTAGAAGTCTTATTTTGGAACATGAGATTGAATTTTATTCCTGTGACTGACCATGATATTGGTACAGCCCCAGGTTAATTTCATGATTTCGGATGAGATATTTGGGATTTTCATTAAGTAACAGTGAATTTAATTACTTCAGATTTCTGTAAATTAGTAACATATGATTTGCAATTACATTTACATTTACATGTGTGATTATAAATTACTGTTTAACCTGAATTTAACCTGCATTATAGCCAAGCAAATCTGGTTAATCCTGTTCAGTTTCTGAAAAATATAGGGTGGTTTTAAAATGATTTGGAGTGATGTAATGCTTGCAGTCGTTATCACATTAAAGTACACAAAATTCTATTAAGATATGCTCCCGCTTTAAAATTTCATTTAAAGCACTAAAGACCAATTTTGCAAGTGGAATTTATTCTAGACTGGGAAACAGCTGGTGAATGAAAGCTCCATTTGTCTTCTATCTAATTAAATTTTAAAGAGATCACTTTGCTTTACTCCAATCAATAATTTCACCTCTTGCCGTAAGTAACATTGGAATTATTAAACGCCAAGCTTTACTCAACTGTGTTGCAGAATGTTTTGAATTAAATATAATTGGGAACGGATTGAAATTCAGAGGTCTATGTATCACGAACTACTGTTCATAGGCAGAGCTACCGTAGCATTTATTCTGTTTTGTGCCAAACGAGTTTGTAACACTGAAGAAGGGGAAAGTCGGTATGCAGGAAACATTTGTACTTTGAATTACTATCAAAGCTAAGACAGAATTTGATCTCAGGCAGTAAAACCAAATAATTGTCTGCCTATTTCTGATAACTTCATGCTGGAAGTCTTTTTGTTTTTATCTTACTGTCATTCTTTCCAGTCCTTGTCTACAGCTTCGCTATGCTGCTCTACGCTGTCATTACCATGGAGATAAAGCTTGCAGAAATTCTACTGATTCTATGACTATAGGGAGTTAGGCTACCATTAATAGGACACCAAATACGATACTTGTTCCTCTTTGCATTTGGTAGTAAGCTGATAAAAAAAAAAAAAAAACTAGCCGTTTTTAGCTATAGTTTAAGGTACTTCATTACTGGGAACTGAAAAGGGCTAATGCTTGTTTCCAGGAGATTATATAGCTGGGGTAAATAAACTGGAAAAGTTCAATCCTGCTATACAGCTAATACATTGACATTGTTTTATGCTTGGGTCCTGGCCTTTCTTAGAGTACCTTAGAGGTTTTTATTTTAAACTATCACTAAGACCATCCAAAAAAAAATCACTAAAGGAAATTCAAGGTTATACCTCAAAACATTTGGAAGTCAATGAATGATGAAGTTAAAATTACAAGGCAAATCATAGTATGGTCCCTAGGCCAGCTGTACTACAAAGTACTCTCCAACTGCGTAAATTTATGCTTTTAGGCAAGTAGTATATTTTTGTGCAGTTATTCTGGAGTTCTATATACTGATATATGTGGCATCTGACAGTGTTTCTTCAGAGTTTCAAATTGATGCTCTTGGTGACAGCGTAAGTGTATTAAGTTAAGCTTTCATGCAATACACTCTTTTCTCTTTGAAATACAGATTTTAATGATATAGATTTAGCCTGAACGATAAAGTTCAGCTCTCCCTTCAGGGAAACGTGTGACAGCACCACAATTGCAGGAAATCCTCAGCAAGCACTCTTCCTGTCCATTCTTTCACAGTTCCCGTGTCATGTACAGGGAGCAATAGTTTAAGTGTGGCCACTGAAAGGGCACTTAAGAGGCGCGCTTACTTTATCTCTCCTTCTGGCTCATTCCCACGGTCTGGTGTGTTGTGGTGCTGGGGGCAGGTGGATAGCAAGACTTGCTTCGCGCCAATCTAGCCCCGTGGAGATAGCTGCTGAACTCAAGGAGTTTCAGACCTCCGCTCCTGCCCATATTCTCTGGTATGGCTTGGCCGTGTTTGCCATGGGATCCTCCTTTTCCTCCAAGCGCGGCAGGTGGGAGAAGGCAGCATGCTTGATGACCCGTGGCAAAGAAAGTAGCGTGGAGTGGCCCTCTTAGGTTCAGGTCCTTGCCTCATCAACAGCTTTGTCTGGCTCCAGGTGAAGATGTAACTCCGTTTTGTTTAATAAAACACAGCCTAGTGGTTATGACATATACCTAGGATATGGGTGCTAGAATTACCTCAGCCTCTGTGCTTACTTTGGAGCTACATTTTGATGAGTGTGACCAGGAACGTCTGTCATTCCCTATTCCAAAGCATCTAGGTGTGAGCTCAACTGTAATAAGCATTTAATGTCATGCCCCAAGTTTCAGGTCAACATGCACTTCAGAAATGAGCATATTGCACAGATCTATGTATAAGTATAATCTGTGTAAATTTAAGTAATCTGCATGCAGATTACTGTGTGCAAGTGGTCTCTGAATTGGAAAGGATCATAAGGTTACTGAGTCAATCCTATTTGCCAGAGCACTTTAAGATGCTGCTTGTTACTGAAAGCTATTTTTTTACCGAATATGAAATATGCTTACTAACCTATTTGGTCCTTGAGCTGTCAAAAACATTTTTAAGGTTTATTTAATAATAAGGAATGTACGGTTTCTATTCTTCCTGCATTACAAATAAATCTAGATATATGCAAGAGAGAAAGGATTAAAAAAAAGGGAACAGAATAGACTGGGTAAACCTAGGCTGAAAGCTGAGCTCACTGATAGATGATTCATGGCTAATAAATTGCCTGGATGATCCTGCAATTTTGCTTCCCACAAGAAAGTTAGTAACTCAGGCTCAGTGCAGAGTTTGCAGTCACCTGGAATAATTTTCCATAGGTCAGTGTAGCTTGGGGAAACGTGGTTGAAAAAGTTGTATGACATTGAGAATTACATTTTAAGTTTGAAATGCTAACTTTCTCAGTAGTCAAACTCTTGTAATCATTTGGTATTTTTAATGAAATGCTTTTTAAAAAAATGTGTCAATTTCATTACAGTAACTATTGCAATATAAATGTAAAATATCTACTTTTTCTACATTTATATTGCCATAATTACTGCAGTACATATAAAATTAAAACTTCAATAATGCACACATACACATATAAATACAGTCTATAACATCCTGCAATTTTTAGTGAAAGAATTGCATTCTGTAAATTGTATAAATTTTAAGGTTTAGGGTAATTTAATCAAAGGGTAGGAGATGATTTGCATTTTCTTTATATTGCAGGCTATGTGAAGTACTTAATCTTGATCCTAAGCATGTCCTGATTGCAGAAGTAATCTTCACAAATATTGGAGGGGCTGCCACGGCCGTTGGAGATCCTCCAAATGTGATTATTGTTTCAAAGCAGAAGCTGAGGAAGGAGGTATGTATAGTATTGTAAGCTGTTCTGCTGCTAAAATTAACTACAGATGTCTATTTATGGAATGTGAGATCTTTTCCTCCCCCATCCATATAAGCACAACACAGTCCACTTGTTCTGCCACACTATTTCTTTCTCAGTAGGACTATCAGACAGAATAGAGTGATTTTTTTGGGGTAGAGGGGAAAACTGTGATGAAAAATAGACTTTTTGATATGGACTGAGACTACCGATTTTCTTTATTTTGGGGCTTTTCCTTGTCAATGGCAAAATGAAGAAAGAAGCAAAGCAAAGGAGGGATATAAACAGAGAGTAGGAAAGTGGAAAAAAAAGAGAAACAGATGTGAAAAGAAAGGAGAAAATCCAAATATATTTTTTTTTTACAGTAGTTCTTCTCCCAAAAAATACATGTACTGGGAACATTCATTCCTTTTTAGGCCTTATAAGACAGAACTAACTTTGGACGTTTTTGAAGCGTTCTCATGCACAAAGACTGCAGCAGGCAGCATGCGCGCAGCAAGAGGTGGCATCGCCTTGTGCGGCACCTGTCACATGCAACTCAGATGCCAGCTGAGAGCTAGTCAATTAACAGGCATCCACCTGGATGGAGGATGAGAGGAGAAGAGCGGCGCCTTCCATGTAGCACAGACCTCAGCTGGCTCTTAGCTCCTGCCAACGTTTTGATAGCCCCAGAGTGTAACGAGACAAATTTAACTTCCCATTTTTGGCTCTCCTATTGAAGAACCAAATTGCTTCATTTTTCTGGCTGGCTAGTGCCAAAGAGGAGGCTCCAGTGCGCAGCGCCGGGCTGCACAGTGGTGCTCCTTTTCGGGGCTGCGCCCCCCCCCCCCCTCCCACCCACATTCGGGTGGGTAAAGCAGCCACCTCCAGGCTCCCTCCTTCTCCACGCTGGATTTGGGGGAGAGCTGCCACTTGAGCTGCCACTTGCTGCCAGTTTTCCCAAGCTGTTCCCGTGACGTTCCTCACTGAAAAGCACTGCGCTTGCCTCGGGGTCCTTTTGCGCATTGCCAGTGTCCAACGCCCTGGGGAGGTCGGGGGGCTCTGACCAGGCAGTGAGGGCCAGCCCCTCTTGGGACAGCAAGTGCTGCTGTCCTCCTGCCCTTTCGCAGGGCTGTGCCAACAACCATCGACACGGCAGCACGTGCAGCTGTGTAATGGGCTAGTCTGCAAGGACACCACATACTTGTTTTTTGTTTTGGCCAGGTTTTACAAAATGGTTCCTGAAAAAAAGCCATGAATAACGTTAAATAAATTCAGTGTAGCATACAGAGTAGTGCAAAAATAGCTGTGCAAATCTAATATAAAATGTAAATAAATATGCAAAAATGTAAACATAACTGTAATAGCTGGGAAATGTAACATAAAATCCTAGATTTTTTAAATTGGAGACAAATACGTTACTGTTGTGCCAAAAAAGGATCTCTCCTAACTAGTCAAATCTTCACAAAGGGAATTAAGTACTGTCCAGTTTAGAAAGTGTCTTTGAAAGTTCATAGTATAAATATGATTGAATTTACTTTCAAAATATTTGAAAGGAGCTACTATCACAGTTTAGCTGGGTGATGACTTTGGAGACTCTGTAATATTCCTGGGTGACGGTTTTGATAGTTAAATTTTACCTTTTTGAATATAAAAGCTATGCAACTATTTCAACCTTCTTTTCAAAAAGAGAATAATTAGTGCCTATCGCATAGGTCATTTTCCTAAATACTCAGAAGATCGTCATCTCTGTAGAACCTTTAGAAACAAGTATAAACAAGGGAAGCAATTAAGGAATCAAATTGAAAGAAAATAATTTGATATTTTTATTGAATGATGATTTTTAGGAGGACTCAGATGTATAAATACCCTAGCAAATGTGACATTTTAGCAAATTCACTGTTTGAAACAATCATAACAAGTTTCCAAACATTTTCAGTCTTTGGATTGTTTTCAGATCTCTGTTGCCTCAGTGGAAAAAAGATGTGAGCAAACAGATCAAATTCAACACAGTGCCGCGGGACTTGTACTCTTTTCTTCCTATGGTCTCATCTGTTATATCCGTATATATAAATAAAAGATGGTCAAAGACCTATCCTTGGCTCTGAGGTGAAGTGGCATGGACTGGCTTATGCCCTCACTGCTTAGGGCTCACCCCCTTTAAAGCAGATTTTTCTTGGCCAGAGTTAGTTGGAGGAGCTGGATAAAGCCAAGAGTGAAGGCAGGGAGGGAGCTTGTGCATTTACCCTCTTACAGTCTCCGCTGTTGAACCAACAGCTCACTTCCTAGTTTTGTCCACCTGCTCTAAGGAGAGCTTATTATTCAAAAGAAACATGGCCAGTCTTGCCTTACTTCTGAGACTAGTTCTGGCAACAGCTGCTGTGAGGAAGCTTTATATGATCAAACCTAAATCTGTGTCTAAAGTGTACAGGAAGTCTATGCTATATTTGTACCAACTAAAATTTATTCTTTTTTTATTTTCTGCTTTAAAGTATTTCAGAGCCAAAAATTCTTGAATGTAATCACCTATTTCAACGGCTTTCCAGAAACAGCACTACATATGCTATTGCCCACTATTCCTATGTTTCCTACAGAAAACAGCTTTTTTCCCCTCTTTTTAGTACTATTGGACATGGTTGTCCCATTTTAGAGAATTTTCCTCCTTCATATTTTCTTTGAAATTCCTCTTTCTATCATCCTGCATTCCTTTTTCAGTACTAGTTTTGTACAGCTAAGTATAGGAGTGTTTGAACAACTGCCTCTGTAGGAGGCCAATAGCATACAGTACTATGCAGTTGTTTGGTTTTCCTATTTTAGCAGGTGCCAGCAGAAGGTAAATCTTACCAATCTTCCTGAATGTCACTGTTGTACTTTGACCCTTAAAAGCAGCCTAGTGAGTTATGCAAGTCTACGCTTTCTTAGGAAGCCTTCGTTTGTTAAATCGAAACAAAATGAGGTGCAGTCATGTTACTTTGGGTGTTATTGGGTTATAGTGTTAGAAATGCTTTACTATTTATTTACAGTAGTGCTGGAGGGAGATTTTCTTCCCTAGGTTCTGGGGAAAACTCATGTCACATTACAGAAAGATTTTGTGAAAGGTGTATTTGAGTAAAAAAGCTTTTTGTTACAGCTTACTCATTAAAATGTACGGATAAGCTTGTTTATCTTTGTTGAGTTGCAAGCGGATGCCAAGAGAATTTTTTGTTTGTAGCAGTGGTTAATTTATAACACCAACATCTTCCCTACCTCATGCCTGGAATCAGCGGAACTTTTGCATAACAGAAGAGGAAGATTTGCTTGTTGTTAGGTTGGAGGAAGAGAAAGTCTTACAAAATAGCATTTATGTATTTAGGTAAGGAAAATTTAGGTAAGGAAAATGCTGAAAATAAGGAGTTTCATTAAGAGCAAATGGAAAATTAATTTAATGAATACAAATGCTTTGTCCATGTTCTTTACTTTTTATTACCTTCAGAGTACTGTTACTGGGTTGCCATTGTTATCAAGTATTTTTGTCTTGAAGACATCAGCAGTTCTGTCTCCATTTTCATGTGTGCAATACGGCACACTTGAACTAGTTATTGCTTTCAGAAAGGCTGAGCATTAAGGCTTTAGTACTGGGGATCTTCCCAAATATCTACAGTGAGATATTTGAAATCAGAATTTACTTGGGCCCTAAGCTTAAAGGTTGTGATTACAAAATCTTTAGAGAAGGGGTGGTAAGTAGGTCTCCAAAGCAAAATGATGGAAAATAGTGTGTATTAGTGTAGCTTTAACCTGTCTAGAAGAGGTAATGATAACAGTGAAGACAGTGTTAGCCTGTGCTAGCCCCTGGATTATGTCCTCTTAAGGAACCTTCCTTATTCACTGTGGTTGTTAGTGTATGATAAAGCTTGCACTGTTGTGTCTTTCTGATTAGTGCTCCCAAACTTATGCTGCAATCATTCCCTGTGACAAAGGAAGGGCTGCAGAGAGGCTGCAGAGCAAAACACACTCTATATTGGTTGAGACCATTTCGTGTGGTCGTTTTGGAAGAAACCGTGAGGAAGCTTCATTCAAGTCTTCGTTTATCATTCAGATTAATGGATAAAGAGAGATTAGCTTGATATATCCCAGAAAAAAACACATGCCTAGAAATGTGACGGGCTTCTGCTGTGCATTGCCCGTTTGGCTTTTCAACATATCCTGCCGACAGCAGATACAATAGGTGGGCATAGACCATTTGTATGATGTGCTGAGTAGAGCGGAGCAGTTTTGCAAAGGCCCGCTTGGCATGTACTACACATTTTAATTCCCCGTGCCCACTAAGGTGGAGGTTCCCAAGCATGTCAGATGTGTGCATGCTGCAGTTTATCCACTATTTGTGGAGGATTTTGGATATCCAGTAGCCCTCTGAGTTATTCCT